GGACTGACTCATTCTGCTCTGCCCTCCACTGAGCTCCTTACTATATGAGAAAAAAGTCACTCCCATTTCAGTCAAGTAGTGGACTTGAGTTTCTGTGGTATGAGCCAAATTCATCTCTAACAGATACAGAGAATCCATGAAAAGTCAATCCATCCTAAAAGAGTGGAAGTTTTAAACTTAAGTGGAAATGGGAGCTGGGCAGATCAAATTAATAAATCTGACCAGGTGCATTAAATAAGAAGTGGTGAACTGAGTGATAGACACCTATACTTCTAGTTACTTAGGAGGCTGAAGCAGGAGGATCACAAGTTTGAGGACAGCCTAGACAACTTAGTGAGATTCTATACCAAAAGAAAGTTAGGTTTGTGTTTCTTTCTTTCTTTTTTTTTTTGGTGGAACTGGAGTTTGAATTTAAGGCTTCACACTTGCAAAGCAGGCGTTCTACTGTTTGAGTCATACCTCCAGTCCATTTTGCTCTGGCTATTTTAGAGTTGAGGGTCTCACGAACTATTTGCCCAGTCTAGCCTAGAACCATCATTGCCTTGATCTCAGCTTCCTAAGTAGCTAGAATTACAGGTTGAGCTACCAGCTCCCAGCTTCAAAAGGAAGTTTTTAAAAAGGGCTGGTGGGTGTAGCTCAGTGATAGAGCACTTGCCTAGCACCTAAAAAAGCACCACCAGCAGCTCTGACCAACTGACACCATGTAGGAATTCCAGCCTGCCATACCACCTGGTCACAACTTCTGATTTTCAAGAGAAGCCACAAATTTGGATTTTTCTGTGAAGTTCTTCAATTTCTAAATGTTAACTAATTTTTTAAACTTTTAACTCTATCAAACATAATAAATTCATAATAATAAATTCAGCCTGAAGGCCACCAGCTCTCAACCTTAATAGAGAGGTTCAAAGAAGAATTAAAACAAAACACCCAACAACCCTCCCCACCCCCAGAAGTTCTAGAGAATAAAGATTAGCAACATACTGAGGACTCACACGTAACTATAAAGAGATTTACATGTGTCGTCTCATTCTTCTTGCTAGCCACCCTGTGAAATATGATACTATTATCCCTGTTGTACCAGTGAGGAAACAGGGGCTTGGAGAGTAACACGCTCAGAGTCAGGGCTAAAGGGTGGCACAACCAGGCCGTCAGCCCAGGCCTGCATGACCCAGAAACTCGTCTCATCCACTTGTCATAAGGATTGCCCAGCACAACTGTAAAGCATGGATCCGGATCACTGTTGGCTAACCTATGGGACAAGGGAGTAATAGCCCCCAGGAGACTTCCAAATCAGCACTTACAGAGATGGGGCTCATGTCCTCTTTCTTCCCTGCCCTTTCATAAAAACAGCAGAGCGCTGTCCAAAGATTCATTTACTGAATGAATGAATGTTTGTACAGTGCTTCTCAGTTTATGAAAGTGCTCTTAAATGCATCTCTCACTTAATCTCCACATCACCACTGTTACCACCATCTGACAGACAATGAAGTGGAGGATGAGGATTTGAGAGATTAGTGGACTTATGGTCCAGGCAATTAGAGCCCAGTCTCAAGTCCTAGTCTTCAGATGCCAAGCCCTGTGCTCTCTCTGCTTCCTTCACAACTCCCCATTCCCCATCTCACTTTCAAATAATGATTTGTTTGATCCTAATTCTGACTTCACTCTAAAGTAACTGCAGCCCAACTGACAGCTTCCAGGTACCACATTTATGTTTTCATGGATATCTTCACAGAGAATAAAGTCAGCAAGCGGACAAAAATAAATGTATCAAGTAATAGACTCAGAATCGGAATGTAAATGGGCACACACACAAGTCTTGGGATCTAATTTTGGAAAGAAACAGCCAAAATGTCCAACTCAGCCCAGTGAGCATCTGGCCCCATGGGAGGCTGCTACACTACCTCAAACCTCAATTAACCCAGCAAGGGGAGGCAGGCACCCTGGAATTCTGACAGGCATTTTATTTCTAGGGGTACCAGTTAGATGAGGAACAGAATGACCTTGTATCATGTTCTCCCAGAGTTAAGAAAAGGTAAATGGAAAAACCCCAAAAAAGGTTCATTCCACTCTTTGACTACAAAGTTGTCAAAGTCCTCACAGCCCTGATTCCAGCACAGTGGAGACCAGGGAAAAAGATGGCAGGGGAACAGTGCCCACTGACCTTAGTCCTGGAGCTGCCTCAGAATGAGCACCACCTGGGGCTTCAAGGGCTGATCAAGTCACTGCTGGACATCCTGGCTTGTCCCAGGTTCACTCACCTAACCACTACAGGTACACATTATCTCCTTCATAATTAAGTGGAGCTTTAACTAGGTTTACCGGTTGCCAATGATCACAGGAATGTAAATTCCATCATGGCAAGGATCTTGTGTCTTTTGTTCATTGAACTACACCGACATCCTAAACTATGTCAACACCCTAAATCAATGTCTGGCACACAGCAAGCTTCAAAAACTATTTGTTGACTGAATGAATGATAGGATGAAGGGATGGATGTTAGAACAGACTCTCCTAGATACCTGTGGAATGGTGTAAAATGGCCAGAGACCAAGAGGAGGCTTCCAGCAATGCAGTCATTTGCTTTCTCGTTCAGTGTGTGTGCATGCATGCATGTGTGTATGTCTGTCTGTCTCTTTTTCTCTTTTGATTTTTGAGATACAGCCTCACTACATAGCCCAGGTTGGCCTCCAATTTATAATCCTCCTACCTCAGACTCCAGAATGCTGGGATTACAGGTGTGCCTTACCATACCTAGTTCTCTCATTTTCTCTTTAAAGTCATATACTATAGAGCTCAAGCTCCCCAAGATCCATGGTAGAATCTGGTGTAACTTCTTTTACCATCTTCCTACTTTATGCCACCATCCACCATAACCCTGTCTCCAAGGACTCAATGTCTGCCAACTCCCATCCTGTAATACTCTTGTGCAGCTCCTGAGCTGTGTAACACACTCACTAATACACTTCACCCATCTCACCCTCGGCAGTCACAAGTACACATCTGTTCTGCGCCAGGTGCTGTGATAGACAACTGGGCACAATGATAAAATACAACCTCTGTCTTCTAGAAGCTCACATCTTATAAGGGAAGCACAAATGTAAGCAATTAGAATACAATGTAATAAATATTATTACAAAGTCACAAACTGACCACACTCTGGCCCAATCTAGCCCATTTAGTGACTGAATTTTCATAATTAGTTGCTAACCTCTAAAAATTTGTTACTCTCAGTAACATGTTAGACTACCAGGGCTGGGGCAATAGCTCAGTGGCAGAGTGCTGGCCTACCATGTGCAAGAACTAGGGTTCGATTCCTAGTGCCCCCCAAAAAGCAGCAAACAACCAAAATTCCCTAAAGGAGCCAAGCTCCATGGTTTACATCAGTAATCTCAGCTACTCAGAAGGGAGAGATTGGGAGGATCACAGTTCAAGACCAGCCTGGGTAAAATATTAGTGAAACCTCCATCTCAACAAATAAGCTGGGCACAGTGGCACACACCTGTCGTCCCAGCTATGTGGAAGGCCAGCACAGGCAAAAAACGTGAGACCCTATCTGAAAAACAACTAAAGCAAAAAGGGCTAAGGGCATGACTCAAGTGGTAGAGGGCTTACGTAGCAAACTTGAAGACTTGAGTTCAAGTCTCAGTACTGCCAAAAAAACCTCCAAAAACCCACAGTCTAAAGGACTAGACTGCCAGCCTCTCTTGACAAATCAGAAGATCTGTCAATGCTGATCCTCCTGTATCCCCACAGCATCATCCAGCTTCACTAGGTAGTGGTCACTCCTTTACAGGAGGCACGTGACCTGCAATTCCCAGTACCTACACCCCAGTACAGTCCCTATGTTCTTCCAGGCCATATGCAAGGGTCAGCTGCCAGTTTTTGTGTGCTGACATAGGTGTTATATTAATGATTCCTCATACACACACTTCTACAAGTGAAAAAATGGAAAAATGGCAGGGCCATATGAGGAGCTTAAGAAAATAGTGGACTTGTTTCCTACAGAAGTAAAGAATATTCTACATATTTGGCATGCAGGTTCACGGTGTGCCTGTGTTATGTGCCCAGCATTTTGTTCATGTACCTGCCTGGCTCATCAGGACTCTTGGTGTGGATCCTCTTGTCTGTTGTAAACCAGTGAGCTAGATAACCAAAAATCCAGGTTTCTGACTATCTGGGCAATGTCTAGTAGGGCAGACACATAAGAAGACAACAGTATACAATGTGACCTGTCCTATAGCAGGTACTGGAAGGAAGAAGCACTAAGTCAGGCTACAGAAGTGAAAGAGAGATAACAAGGGATGGTCCTCAGGCTGACCCTTGAAAGGCAAAGATTTTTCAAATAGCCTGAGGAAGGTAAAAGAGGGCTTTGAGAAAATTGCCAAAAATAGTGTCCTGCCATTAAAAAGTACTGCTCATCAGAATCACCCACCCTTGACAGAGAAGCTGGATCATTTCTCATAATTCTGGCTATGAGGACAAGTTTCCAGGAAAGTAAGGCCAGTAAAGGATTACCTTCCGGCCTGCAAACTACAGAAAGTGCAGGTCACTACTGAGAGCAAGTGTTCAGTTGTGTAATCCAACCTGATGTCACCAGCATGTCTCCCTGGCGTTTACTCGGTAGAAATAAAAGCCTGGATTTCTACTGCATTTTCAAATTTCTCAGGCCCTTGCTTCAGTTAATATGAAAATTTCTATATTAAGAATACGTGATAATGCACAGAAACCAGTCTGGCCTCTAAGAAAAGATGTTCTCCTTCATTTGCTGCTGATAGGACAAACGTCTAGGAAGGAAATTCCCAGATCAAGACAAGAAAAGGGCTGGCACTTGTTCTTAAAGAGGAGTTCTCAGAAAAACAAAAAAAGGAGGAGTTCTTTTTTTTGCTGCACCAGGGATTGAACTCAGGACCTCACACTTGTTAGGCAAATCCTCTGCTCTTCCACTTGAACCATGCCCCTAGCTCTTTCTTTATTTTGTTTTCTTTTTTGTTACTACTCACCTCTCCAGTCAGAGTCAATGAAGAATTCTTGCTACTGAAATGATTCTCAGCCTGAGCTGACTCCTGTTGAGCTCGGCGACCCATTTTGGCCCCCTGTAAAGAGAGATGGAGGGCAATGCTGACTGAATATCATTTGAATCACTGTGAGGATGATAATTAATTCTGGGAAGGTAAACACAGAATAGATTTGGGATGACATGGTAGAGAACATGATTTGAATAACTTAGAAACATTCATAGAAAATGCCTCAAACCTTAAAACAAAGCACCTGAGGTTAGTTCTATCTGACAGAATAGGAAATAAATGAGTCAACAGCCATGAAGTTAACTCATTTAAGAGCTATAGGGACTCCAAAAGCAAAATCACTCTTCTACCCAAAAAAAGCAGTTAAGATGCCTCCAGACTGGGCAGAGACCCCATGCCACAACTCAGAGAAGGGGTGGTGAAGCCCCCTATGTTCCTAAGCAGGATTTTAGAAAGGCCTAATTTCACAATTATAATAGTTATCAAACAGGCTTTTGGAAAATTCCTAAATCTCATATCAACGCCCCAGAGAAATACAGAAATACATTTGCTTTGATAGATACACTGACTGGATTTGCATTTACAGACATGAAACCTGTAACAAGTGTATTGAGACATCACCTCTGGAAATCAGGGCACTTCAAAACTCTGAGTCACCCTCCCCCACCACCATATGAACATTTATGAACGACTTCCTGGGGTGGATGCTCTGGGTCTCAAACACCAGCATATAAGCACAACTTTGAGGCACACCAGTAAGGTGCTGAAATATGTAGTTTTTGGTTGTTTACTTTAAAAAACACCAGCATTAGTGGAATCACTTTTAGATCCCACTTTAATGTGGCTTCGTTTGATTCTCACAATAACATGGAAAGGGACAGGGACTGAAGTCATTTTACAAATGAGGAAACTGAGGCCCAAGAAGGTGAGTAAGTGGCAGACATAAATCCAAGAGCAAAGTGTTCTTCTGACATCAAATCCCGGGTTCCTTCCACTAGGCCCTGCTTACATTTCACAGTTTTAAGATGTTCTAAAAATAAGGATAATGGGCATGGTGGTGCATGCCTGTAATCCCAGCACTCAGGAGGCTGAGGCAGGGAGGATCATGAGTTCCAGGCCAGCTTTGTTATATTGAGACCCTGTCTCAAAAAAAAAGGGGGGGGACAAAGAAAGGAGGTTCAGAGAAGCTGAAAACTCTGATGCAGGGTTAACCCTTCAAATTGTAATGCCAATTGTTCAGGTTTCAATCTTTCTAATAATAAACAGCTCATTTTCTTTTCAGAGCAGGCAATGCCATCCCTTCACCCAGGGCTGCCCTCTTCCATCTGTCATAGTGTCAGGTATCCGAATACCACATACTATATTTAGAGGTTGCATTAATACAAAAATTCAGTGATGTCTCTAAATGCTGCTTACAGAGGGAGGAGCTCTCTAGTAATTGTCAAGTGGTTTAAGGTTTTAAACTTTTTGAAGATCCAGTATAAACCCACAAGGTAGAAACCCACTTTGCAACCCTATTTTATGTATTTTAAAGGCAGTCTGTTTATTGCCCATCTTCCCTCACTAGGACATGAGCGGGAGATGTTTTGGTCACTGCTATCTAATCAGTACCTAGGTCAATGCCTGCTACACAGTAGTGCTCAGTAAACATTTTTGGAAAGAATGAATAACCACATTCACATCCCCAGGTACTAAAAAGATCGACGTATCAGAAAGGCCTGGTGACCTCATACTCTCCTTGGTCAAGCAACTTGCTTCATTTTAGACCAATTTGCTCCTGACCCTCACATCTCCCTCCCAGGGCTGTTCCTCCCTGGTCCCTTGGAGGACATCCAATGCATCAGGACACTTCAAAAACACTTGAGATTTCATAGCAGAAACTAAAGCCCTGCCCTATGAGCCAATCTTTTAGTGACTATGATCTTGACTAATTCTGAAGGTTATAAAGACCTGGGGAGCTGTGGTGGGTCTTGAATCAAGCTCTATTATATACTGGCCTTGGGTAAATCACAGCCTCAGAGGCAACAGCAGTCACCTCTTCTTAGCATCTGTCAGGCACCGTCAAGTGCTTTCCACACTTTTTCCCATTTTATTTTCACAGCAACAGCTTATTCCAGGCATAAGGAAACCAAGGCTAGGAGAAATTGCTTTATTTTTGTTTTCCCTATGACAGCTTTATGCTCCATCTGACCTCAGGGCCCGGGCACCCTATCTATCCCTTCGCTATGTTGTAAGTGATATATATCGTTCCACTTCAGAGTCGTGATTTCCAACGGTGAAAATGAGGCAACGCCCGCGGGGAGTGGGGGGGAGGATTAGAGGGAAGAGAAGACGTCCCTTTGTTTCCCCGTATCGCATGTAGTGGGGCAGCATTCACAAGAATTTCTGCAAGGAGAAGGCCCAAGGGAAAAGTCTAGGAACGACGGGAGCCAGTGCGACTCTAGCCGGCGACCCTCGCGTCGCCCTCAGATCCGTCCGTTATTGGGAGTTCGCACTTGGGGCTCCAAGAGTGCAGACGGGCTCAAAAATTTTCCATGGTCCCCAAAGCAGGCGGGGACAGGATCTGTTTTCTACTTTTGGAGGATTTTAAATAAAGCAAAGGGCGCGGACCGCGGCGGAGTCCCGGGCCTCGGGGGGCGGGGCGGAAGAGGCCGCCGCCCCCACGCCACCACCCGCCGCCCCCAGCCCGCGACACGCGGGCCCGAGGCGCCTCGGGACAGCCAGGCCAGCCCGGCCACTCCTTCCCACCCGCTGGAACCGGCCCGAACCCCCCGCATCCGTCCTCACGGAGAAGGCCGAGTTGCGGCGCCACTCCTCGTCCAGGTCCAGCAAGTCTTCCATCGCCACGGCCGCCTGACGTCACTTCCTGGAAACCCACCTTCCCAGCCGCGTCCCTGACAACGGTTCCACTACTGTGAACTAGTGGAATATTTAAAGGGTCCGCAGCACTATTCCTGGATTCTGTATGTCACCCTTCAGTTCTAAATCAAATCTTTCCTAAGTTTGCCTTGCTTGACTTCTCGAAAAAAAAATCTCTAGATATCAAAAACCACTAAGGATGCTCCTGTGAGACAGTGAAAAAATGTCTTAGGGACCGTCTGCAATTGTACCTGTGTACATTCGTAAGTGCAAAGCACTCAACTGATTCTTCCCATTTGCATAGCTCTTTGCAATGAACAGAGGGTGTTCGCATATATTAGCTCAAGTGAGGGGCATGACAACCTTTGTGGAAGCAAGATAAGTTGTATTGTTTCCATTTGACAGATGAGATCAGGTGTAGTAAGTGGTTACAGCATTACAGAAATCCAATATATTTAATTTCTGCCTTCAGAGGAAGTTTATTGAGAGGCTGACCCAAAATATCCAGTAACTGAGCAGTAAAATAGCTTTAAAAAATATGAAATGTAGCCAGGCACGGTGGTACAGGCCTATAGTATGAGGTACCTGAGATGCTGAGGCAGACAGATGGCTTGAGCCCAGGCATTCAAGGCCAGTCTGAGCAACACAATGAGACCCTAGCTACAAAAAAAAAAAGTATAAGTCATTGGTTTCTCATTTAATCTGAACAACCCCACAAAGTGAAGAGCAGCGATGTCTCTATTCAACAGCAGAGATCCCTGAGGTGCAGAGGTGGCTTGAGGAAAATAACCTAAGTGCTAAGTGGCAGAGCCAGGGACCCTTTTGACACCAGATATTACTGGAGTATTTTTCTCCAGTACATACTATTGGGTACCAGTCATTCTCCTAGGCTGGCAGAAGGAGGTGTATCACAAATTCCCAACCTAATGGGGGAGTCGAGTGGAGTCTTCATTGACTCATATGCCACTTAAGATTCTAAGTCAGTCACTTGCTAGGTCCCTGACTCTGACTGCTGTGGCCTACAGAAGATGGGCTCATAATCCTGGAAGTGAACATACCATGCTGGGTTAAGACCTAGATTTGTCACAGGTTAAAAGGAAGCACTTTGAAATAGGAGTGGTGCCCTTAAAACTGGGTTATAAGCATTTTTTAGGTACTGAGTAAGTTAATCATTTCAATCATTGATTCCATGTTTGTGGCTAGCCAAGTGACAGCAAAAACCCTGACTGAACATCAAAAGAGTTGAATTCTCAGCCCAGCTCTGTATAGTTAAGGCAGAGCCTTCTCTGGGCCTCAGTTTCCTCCTTTGTAATTACCCTTAGAAATTGCCTCTAAGGGAGGGGGTGGGGGAAAAGGAAGGGGCAGAGGGAAGGGGGGAGAAATGACCCAAACATTGTATGCACATAAGAATAAAAAGAAATAAAAAAATTTAAAAATCAAAAGACATTTCAAAACCAAAAAAAAGAACTTGCCTCTAAGATTCTTTACTAGCTTAGCTTCTCAGTGAGAATATTCTGCTAGATTTTAATCTGAAGAAACATTCATTGCCAAAGAATCCTTCGAGAAGGCCTCTTTTTCCATTGCTTGTAAGCTCACAGCTGTACCGCCACTACCTTATAGTCAGAACTTCACTTCCATGTCTTTCCCAACTCCCTGAAAACAAAGAGTGAATAGCACACACACTGAGCAGAGAGAAGTCCTACAGCAGGGGCCGAGCATCTGAATCATGAGAGGTTGTATAAAAACACAGGTGCCAGAGCTCCATATATACTGATTTGGTACAGGTGGAGTTTCTAGACTCCAGAAAGGTATAACTTCAATCATTTACACTCCCATTTTGTAAATGTTAGTACGAAGGTTTTTCCTGATGGTCTTATTTCAAATCGCAACATCCCCCAACTGGGCACTCCTTATCCTTCTCCCTGCTTTATTTTTGCTGTAGCACTTATCTTTTATTGCGCTACATAATTTACATTATTTAGTTTCTTGACTCTCCCACTGCCCTAACCCTGAGAATAAAATGTAAGCTCCATGAGAGCAAGGGTTTTGTTGTGTTCACTGACATATCCACAGGGCCTAGAACAGTCCCTACCACATAGCAAGCACCAAAAGCATTTCTCAAATTCCAAAGGCACTATAGCATAGTGGTTAAATTTATAAACTCTGCAATTGGACTTCCAGGATCCAAATCCCAGTGTTGACACCTAATTAGCTATGTGACCTTAGGCAAATCACTTTGGAAGCAAGCCTACACCTAGGATTTCTCATAGGCTATGCCTAAACTAGACAGCTTGTGTTAAAATATCACCTCCACCACTCATAAGCCGTGTGGCCTCAGTTTACTCAATCGGAAGATGAGGATACAGTAACAGCCCTTCCTTTAGTGGCCTATGAGCCAGGCCTTCCTGGAAGGGTCCAGGAAGGTTGGAGTGAGGCACGGAAGGGGGGTGGGAACCAGTACTAATTCCCAGGAAAGTGATCAAGTCAGACACAAGTCCCGCGTGGGGGACTTGTGTATCTTGGCTGTATCTTGCTCTCCCTCGGTTGCTGGTGGGAAAAGACCTAGAAACTCAAGCTGAGAAGGGCAAGGAAAGCAGAGCGCAAGCTTCCCCTCACCCCATCTGGGCAATGGGCTCGGGCCAATTGCTGACTTTGCGCTCGTTGGCGGGGTTGGAGGCCGCGAACATCTGGAGGCCATTGCCACGCGCAGCGGCTGGGGGCCGCGGCTCGGGCCGGGAGAGGGGTGCGCTGGACGCACGTGGGCCCGAGGAAGGCGAACTCCCCAGGACGCGGGGGCTGTTTTTTCTCGCAGCCCCTCTCCCGCCCTCCACTCCCTTGCTCCGGGCCACCGAGCCTCCTTCACTGGCGGCCCGGCCTCGCCAGAGGGCACCCTTGGTCTTCCGGAAAGCACCTCCATTTTTCCATGTCCCTGGAGCGGCTCCCAACTTCAGCTAAGCCACCCGACTCCAGGCTTGTCAATGAGAAATCGCGGCCAGGATCGCCGCGGAGCCCAGTCCCACCCTTTGTCCCCGCTCGCCGGCGGGCATCACCCGAGTGAGGGTGACAGGCTGCCCTGTCCCGCACCCCCCTGCGAGTGTCCAGCCTGTCCCGGGGCGACCGGGGACGCGGGCGAGGAGACAGCGCGCGAGGCCGTAGAGAGCACGGACTGACAGCTGGCCAGAGCGCGGAGGGGCTGGGGGAGCAGGAGGGAGGGGGCTCGGCGGAGTAACTTTCCAGAAAAACAGCCAACGTGTAGCAGGAGTGACTCCAAGAGGAGGAAAAAAAAAAAAAAAAAAGTTCAGTTACCACGTCGAACGAGAGGACTCGCAAAGTATTTTTCAAACGGGCTCGGCTTTTCCTGTGCCTGTTTAAAACATTAAAAATCGTGCAGCAAAAGAGGCTGCGTGTGCTGGCCCCTCCCTCCCTCCCCCCACCCCAGGCGCGAGACGTCATGGGAGGGAGGTATAAAATTTCAGCAGAGAGAAATAGAGAAAGCAGTGTGTGTGCATGTGTGTGCGAGAGAGAGGGAGAGGAGCGAGAGGGAGAGAGAGAGGGAGAGGACAGGGAGAGGGAGAAAGGGAGGGAAGCAGAGTCAAGTCCAAGGGAATGAGCGAGAGAGGCGAGATACAGGGGAAGAAGATGCGGACGAAGGAATAACGCTTTCCGGAGACTGCTGCAGTGTACTGGCTCCTATTTTCTTTTCCTTTTGATTTTTTTTTTTTTTTTAAAGAAGCAGGGGACAGAAGCCATGGCCGAGGCAGAAGACAAGCTGAGATGCTGGTGACCGTGGCGTTCAAGTGGATTATTGGGGCTCTTCTCCAGAGGCCTGTCCTCCCTGCCTTCCAGTTGTACATAACCCCACATCCCAGCCAATGAAGACGAGAGGCAGCGTGAACAAAGTCATTTAGAACCCCCCACAGGAAGTGTAAACAAAAGGGAAAGCATGAATGGACTGCCAGAGGGACAAGTGTGTCCTGCACTGCCCACACCTTTAGCTGGGCCAGCAGCTGCCCGGCCCTGCCTCTCCCCACCTACGACTCACTGGTGATCTGACTTTTTTTAAAAAAAAAAATTTTTTTTTTCCTTTTCCATTCTCTTTGCTTATATTCTCCTTCAGGACAAGGCAAAGATTTTGATTTTGGACCTAGCCATGGTCCTTCTGTGCCTTCTTTAAAATACCCACTTTCTCCCCAACGCCAAGTGGCCTTTGGCAATATCAGATATCCGCTCTATTTATTTTTACCTAAGGAAAAACTCCAGCTCCCTTCCCACTCCCAGCTGCCTTGCCACCCCTCCCAGCCCTCTGCTTGCCCTCCACCTGGCCTGCTGGGAATCAGAGCCCAGCAAAACCTGTTTAGACACATGGACAAGAACCCCAGCACTGTACAGCACACAGTCGGCTTCTTCGTCCTCAGGGTTGCCAGCGCTTCCTGGAAGTCCTGAAGCTCTCGAAGTGCAGTGAGTTCATGCACCCTCTTGCCAAGCCTCAGTCTTTGGGATCTGGGGAGGCCGCCTGGTTTTCCTCCCTCTTTCTGCACGTCTTCTGGGGTCTCCTCCTCACCAGGCCTCAGCACCCCCCTGGCCTCTCTCCCAGGCTCGCACATGAAGATGCACTTGCAAAGGACTCTGGTGGTCCTGGCCCTGCTGAACTTTGCCACGGTGAGCCTCTCTCTGTCCACTTGCACCACCTTGGACTTCGGCCACATTAAGAAGAAGAGGGTGGAAGCCATTAGGGGACAGATCTTGAGCAAGCTGAGGCTTACCAGCCCCCCTGAACCATCGGTGATGACCCACGTCCCCTATCAGGTCCTGGCGCTCTACAATAGCACCCGGGAGTTGCTGGAGGAGATGCACGGGGAGAGGGAGGAAGGCTGCGCTCAGGAAAACACTGAGTCGGAGTACTATGCTAAAGAAATCCATAAATTCGACATGATCCAAGGGCTGGCAGAGCACAGTAAGTCCAAACACTCACTGGGTGTCTGCTGGAGGGGACGAACTGGAGGAGGGAGTCCCACGGAGGGAGCCACACAACAGGGTGCCCCGGGGTTCACCAGCACGGAGGCTCAGGAGGTGAGATGCACAGTTGGGGCTGGGAGAGGTTCTGATAAGAGCCGGGCACTTCTGGGAGGCCAGCAGTCTTGGAGCCAAATAAGTGTGCTAAACTCGTTCACATCCTTAACCGATTTTAATTTGAAACTGCATTGTGCTGCCCAGGGAAATGTATGTGTTCCTGCACATGTGACCATATGGGCAACTATAAGAATGTGGGTGCCAACAAGGAGCAGCAGGCCAGCTCTGTTGAGAGCCCTTACAGTTCTAGACGTCTGAACACCTCAGGCTTCCCCTTGCTTTTCACTGTTCCTCCTGACTGTCTCCTGTTCAGTTTTTCCAGCTCTCAGGAAGCAGCAGCTACCTGCCTCAAATTAATGTCTGTCAGGCTTTTGGAAACCCAGGCAAGAGACAGCTTCTTGCTGCCTCGGCCCTTCCGTCTACCCCACACACGTGAGCTTGGTGGGGGGGATATGCACATATGTTCACATGTATACAAACTTCGGGATGATGTGGACTCTTGTGTTGTACAGTAGGCAGAGTCAAGTGTGCAAAATTCGGCCTCCCAGGCCGGCAGGCATGGGAGAGCAGGGTCATGGCTTTGGGTGTGTAGAAGAGGGCTGGCAGCCCTTTGCGTCTGCGTGTCATGGGGGGGGGGGAGTGGGTAGGCGGGGTGGCCAAGGGGGTGATGGGTTGTGTGTCTGTGAGTGTGTCTTCCCAGGAGGCTTCGTCTGCGGAGGAGTTGGGAAGCTTCTGGGTGAGACGCCTGTGTGTGTTTGTACACGTGTGGAAGTCATGTGTGTTTACTGAACGGGGATTTAAAAAACCTCAATACAAGAGAGAGAAATCTGGCAGATGTTGAGAAACTGACAGCCCAGGAAAGAGGAATGTGAGCACTCATGGCCAGACTCTGGGAGCTGCTCTGTTTGCTTTTCCTACCAGCAGGTGTCCTCGATGCGTGGGTTACCTCAGCCCAGGCCCACCTGGGAGGTGGGCAGTGCCTGGGGAGGGTGAGATGGAGGGTGGTCATGGGGCGAACAGCAGGGGGCGAAAGGAACCCAGCTAGAGAGAAGAAACAGGACTGCGTGCTCGATGAGTGGACCAGGTCTGGATGAAGGTGCAGAACGCCCCATGAGAGCTGGCCCATGCCAGGCGGAGGAGCCTGCGGTTTCTGGCAAGGGGCTCTCACTGCAGCTTCCTGTGGCTGCCTGGAGTGCCCTGCCTTAGGATGTGGCTACTGCAGGGGGTTAGTGCTGGAGGCAAGGCAGAGCTAGAGCTCCCTGCCCAGGGTGCTCTGAGTGGTGCTGGTTCAGGGTCTGCCAGGTACTGCAGCTCCCAGAGGCACCTAGCAGCTGGAGGCCTAAACCCTGGACTCCATCAAGGTAGGTCATAGGGACCACAACGTCAGTGGAGAGTGACAATCTGAGGCCAACAGAAGTCTGAGGTGAGGCCACGGAAAAAGGGTAGGCAGGATTCAGACCTTCATGGCCTGGATCAGGAGGGATGCAAAGAAGGAGGGATTTCTGAGTCATGAGGGCTGAGCCAGCCTGGGTCCCGAGTTGAGAATGAATGAGCCAGATGGACACACTGATTGTGTGCAGAGACTCAGGACCCAAAGGGAGACAGCTTTGGGTGAAGCCGGGACCAGGCCCCACAGTTGCCGGACAGCTTCTAGACTACAGCACCAACACCTTATAACTGAGACAGATGGGGTGGCTGTGGGGCTGTGGAGGAGTTGTCTGGCCTGGGCCAATTCTGCACAGTGAGCAGGATGCTGCTCTGGATGCCAAAGAGGCACCAGGGTCTAGGGGGACACAGGCCATGCCACAGAGGCTGGCAGGTGCAAACAGAAAGTAGGCCCAGACCCTCTACAGCTGTTGGAGGTGACATGGAGGTTGAGCAGCCGCAGACCTGGACCCACCCATCAGCTGGCTAGGTGCTGAGCTTGTTCTGGATGCACAAGGCACACTAAGTATAAAGAAGGCAGCCAGCAGATGCAAATGCCCACCAGTGCTGAGTGGGAGAGAGAGAGAGAGAGAGAGAGCGAGAGAGCGCGCGCGCCATTCGCAGCGTCGTGGGGGGAGGGGAAGCCTGTGCTTAACTCCTGAAGGCAGACAGGGTGGGGGGAGGAGTGGGGTACTGGGTAGCACCAGCAGGCTCTCCATGCCACCCATTCCAGAGTTTCTGCTGGGAGCAGAGTCATGACATGACATTCTCTTCCACATTTTGTTACTCCTATCTACTCTCCTGATCCCATGGCTGGGCAAGTAACAGCAGGAGTTGGAGGGAGGGGATGGGGTCCCTGGGGAGGAGTCAAAGAAGGGGGAAAGGGTACCAAAATGAGAGTGGAGAGAGGAGGGTGTCCAGTGGCTCTGCCCTGTCATGGGTCCCCTTACCACCCTACTTTATAGATAAGGAGACTGAGTAATTTGTCCAAACAAGAATAGGTGCTCTAACCAAGGTAGGATGTGTGCCAAATGCGCTCTGTTAAGCATCAGTGTACGTGTAAGATGCACGTCTTAAAGTCTACCTTGAACGTTTAGGCTCTAGTAGACACAGTTGAATCCCATGTGGGTACAAGTTGAATCCAAGCTGAAGGGGACAGGAACTGTTGCCTTGGTAACTCAGATGGCAAATTGCATAGGGATAACTGGGCTTGTTCTCTCTCTCTCTCTCTCTCTCTCTCCCTCTCTGCCTCTCTCTCTCTCTCTCTTTCTCATCCAAGAGATTGATAATGCCATAAATGTTATCCCAAATTCAGTAAAGGGGTCTTCTTTACTCCACGAAGCTTTGCAAATCAGAGCCATGTGAAAGTCGTATTTCTTAATCTATAAGGTCAGAGGTGACCTCTAAACTCCCTTTCACCTGAAAGAATTTTATCATTCCATCTGGAGGGTTTGCTGAGTCTATGCTGGGGAAAATGGGCAAGACTCTATAATCTTTTTATACTTCTCCAGGATTTTGCCATGGAAGTGGTGGGGAAGGATACAGTTTTCTCAGTTCCTTTGTCATCCAAAGATATCGTCAGCATAGGTGTCATTTTATCTTCTGGCTTAAAATTATCTTGTCTGGTGGGAGACTTGTTTTTAGCCAAGGGCAGCCCAGAATTCCTGAACAAAAAGAAAACTTGGTGTTTTAGCTTTTCTTTTCTGGCTGCTAACTATAGATTTTGTTCATTCTGGAAATTAAAAGGCATGTCATGTTGAAAGAACTCCTGGGCCCTACATGTCAAGCCATGCACAGAGTAGGGCAGCGGTTCTTGGAGGGTGGCCCAGAGGCTCCACCTCTCTCTTACAGATTTGGGCGGGGCGGGGGGGGGGTGGTCCTGGGGACCTTGTGTTTTCAACAAGCTTAAGTGAACCAGGGCTAAGCCTTCCCTTCACAGACTTGCAAATACAAGTGTCTACAGAGACCAGGCAGGGGATACAAACACTCCAGAAGAAAAGCCATGGTCCAGGTGCCGCGATAAAGCACACAGGACTCCTGTACACTTGGGGTTCTGGAGAAAGTAGGTGTGTGGCAGGGGGAAGGAGGAGACCTGGCGCCCCGTGATCTGTGGAAAGAGGAAGTCGCTGCCCAGCTCCTGCTGATTTTTGCCTTCAGGAATGTGGGGCCAGCTTGACTGCATCTTACAATTTCCCAGAAGAGCAGAAAATCTGACTCTTTCTGTGAAATCTCCCAACTTTTAACATGGGCTTAAAAAGTTTATGGGCTTCTAATTCAAAAGTTTTAAACATGATACATTGGCTGTACAACATAACTAATTCATCTCAAAGGTTAATCCGCATAAAGTTTAAAACCACTAAGGCAGTGGTTTCTGAAACTTCCAGAACAGCTGAAGCCATGGTACCCTTAGCAGAAAACTATAAACTGTGGTTCTCAACCGTGGCTGTGTATGAGAGTCATATGCAGAGGAGAGAGAGAGGTGTGTGGGGGGAGAGATGTGGGGGGTAGAGAGAAAGAACAGGAAGAAGAAGAAGAAGAAAAGACAGAGAAAGAAAGAAAAGAAAACCAGTGCTGTGGACCCACCCAGTCACTCAGTGTAGTCACAGTCTCTGGGAAGTGGGGCCAGACTTCACCTGTTTTAAAACTCTCCAAGTGGTTCTGCTGTGGAGCCAGGCTATGCTTCCTTCACTGGAAGCAGCAGAAATAATGTCTATTAGCAGCCTGGGTGTCTAAAAACATTTTACAAGGCAGTTACTACTAAACATGCTATTTCCTGGTTTTTTATATGAATATGGTACATGCATATTTTTTGTTTGCTTACTTCCTAAAGCAAAATAGAAAATGGGATCCATTGAGATGTATTTTTTCTGTGCATTGGAAAAAGTTGATCATAATCCACTTCGTAAAGGCAAACACCCTAGTCCAGCTCTCAGTAGTGCTCGCTCACACTCTGCAGAGGCATGGATTAAGAATCCCAAAACAGACTAGCCATTGGCTCTTGTCTAAGGCACAGGTTGAGATGCTAGGCCTGTTTCGAGGAATCCTGCCATATCTTGTTGATGAAACCATCTCTCCACCGGATGATCTTTCAAGTCAATGCTGACTTCCAAGGTCCTTGCTTCAGTAAATGGGGTGTGGTCAAAAGACCTTGTTCAAATCCTACCTCTGTCACCTACTAGCTGAGTCACCTTGGGAAAGTCATTTCTCTTTTCTTATTTTCAGTTTTCCCATTTGAGAATGATCAATTTGATATATTCTCTTGTTTTTTAAGGGTTGCTAGAGGGGCAGATGAGTTACTAAAAGCTCTGTAAAATGTAAGGTTGTGCTATTACATTCTGCTCATTTATTTGCCCTCTGATTCATTCCTCACATTATTTGAAATGTCATTATTATTTGATCAGGGATATTAGTTTTACATTTTTTCTCTCCCAGGCAATTCCTTCTTTATTGGCAATGATTGTGTCTGAGCTTTGCCTGCTAGGGCCCATTTGCTGTGTCACTTAACTAATATGTAACCCTGGCCAAGACCCTTCTGGACATTGGTATCTTCATCTGAAGAGGTTGGCATACAGGACGACTCCTGTTGTCCTTTCTAACTCTGTTGGAATCTATAGGTCCCAGTGATAGAAAGTGACTCTTCTTACCTCCTTCTTGAGACTTCCTTAAATTTTTCATTAAGAAGAGTCCATCTTGAGGCAAAGATGTATGAGTGATGGACTGGAAGAAACCAAGGAGGGATGGTCACTAGGGCATCCCAAGAACTCCTTCAGTACATGGCTTTCCCCATCTGCTGGCTTCCTACTGCCTCAACCCCACTCTGACTCTACTGGATGGCAGGTGTCATTTCTCACTCCCCTTCTCCTTTTTACAGTGAGGCGCATGTCATCCTGACCTACCCTTTATTCTCTCTTGCAGACTATTACTGGAGCCGCAGTTAGAATTGCAGCTTGACTGATGACAGCTTCAAGACCCACCAGTCCAAGTAGCTTATCCATGCCCAGAGTTACACACTTGTAGACTTACATTGCTATCCCTGGGACTGGAGGTATAGCTCAGGGGTAAAGGGTATGTTTAGCATACTCAAGACCTGGCTTTGATCCCCAGCATCTTGCTCCAAAATTTCTGTCAGTGATTTCTCTCTGCTTCTACCTGAAATGCTTTAGGGAAGCATTTCATGGTTGGCAGTATTTGTTCTTTCAAGGCCAATTATTAATCAGGGCTTCATTAGCTGGCATTCACACATTTGTTTTCCTAACATCTGTTCCATTAATTTTCTAAGAACCAGGGTTAGGCCCACCAGATGGCAGTTTTCAGAAACACACACTCATCCTTTCCTAAAGATCAGTAGCACATTTGCTTGTTTCCAGCCTCTGATCCATCCCTCCTTGTCCATGACTTCCTAAACCACCCCTCGGGGTGATTATGAGCTCATTGCAGCCATGTCCATTATGTGTGGAATCTGGGTCCATGAGCTTGAATTTCAAATTCTGGCTGTTGCTACCATTTTCGTAGGAAGTTTTTCTCTGGGTGTTAATACTGCTCAGACCTTGAGGTTGTAAAGCACACAGGAGCAGAGGGGAGAGAGGGGCTTTCTCTGTCTTTTATCTGGCTCTGAGGGTGGAAAGAGCATCTGCTGCCTTCTGTCTGGTGGGCAGGGGTGAAGAAGCTGGTGGGGTCACATAGGCTGGTATAACATGTGCTGTGAAGGATACAGACTCTTAAAAGAGAAAGGAGCCAATGGTGACCAACTCACTTGATTGGAAGAAACATCTGTGTTTCTGCCAGGCTCAAAGATGTAAATCCTTGACCATATGAACCTTGTTCCTTTAGGTCCAAACCACAGCGTTGATTCAGTCACTGTGCTGCTCAAACACTTTCTGTGGCTCTCTACTGTTAACGAGATAAAATCCAGCCTCTTCATCAGACAGCCTCTCAGTCTGACATGTGGGTTTCTCTGCAGGTGGCTCCCAGTCTATTACCTCAACCTTCTCTCACCTGGCTAGAGTTTCACAGCCTTGAGTCTTTCTTCCTGCTTTGTGTTTCCTCCTCTCCCTGCCTTTGCCTAGAATGCTTCTTTCCTCTCTATTCTCCACCCCTCCTCCTGCAGGGCCCAGTCCATGAAGGAAAAAGGGACCCATGGTCATTTCTTCCATGAAGTACCCCTGCTCTTTCCCACCTCTGGTTTCCTGCAGCCATGCTCTGCATTTCCAAAGGCTTTGTCTCTGGTCCTGTAATTCAGGTCCATGTATTAATGGCCACCCTTGAATATCTGTCCCCCGGAAGGCATAGGTTATATTTGTTCACTTTTTGCTTAGTACTAGAGGCTATTAGCTTTACGGATGTTTAATAAATGAATGAGTTTAGCTATAAAACAGCCAAACTTCTAGCGGGAATTGCTGCTGCACCTTAAGAATCTGTATTTTGTAGAAGTGTAGGAAAACCAGGCTGGAGAGCTCAGCAGATTTGGGACATCAATGCGGTGGGGGGAGGGGCAATTAGGACTGACTGAACAGCCTTAGTGCCATGTTCTGTGGCTCTGAGGTCGCCCTGCTCCTTGCTCAGGACAGTGTGACTTTAGTGTCACTAAGAATCTTGTACCTCCACCTCAGGTCTGAGGCCTCACTCAAAGGTCACAGGCAGGACCATGGTTATTCAGCACGTCTATTGGCAGCTCACTATTCCCGTGAGTCTCACCTTGTGCCCACTGCCTTGTCTTCTAGATGAGTTGGCTGTCTGCCCCAAAGGAATTACCTCCAAGGTTTTCCGCTTCAACGTGTCCTCAGTGGAGAAAAATGGAACCAACCTGTTCCGGGCAGAGTTCCGGGTCTTGCGGGTGCCCAATCCCAGCTCCAAGCGCACCGAGCAAAGAATTGAGCTCTTCCAGGTACTCCTCCCAGGCTGGAAACCACGGACCTGAAGCCAGTTCCTCCACCATGTCTGGCCTTTACTGGGCATAGGCCTCAGCAGACCTGGGTTTGAATCTTGGCTCCTTTGAACCTCAGTTTAGTATCTGTCATTAAGAGGAGTGAGTTACCTGAGGTGTGCAAAAGACATGGTATTGGTTTCCATTGCTCTGCTCACCTGTCCTCCTGCCTTGTGATCTACCTTTGGCACCATGCCCTGGCCTCAGGTACTTACTCCTTTCTCTGCTCTGTAGATACTTCGACCAGATGAGCACATTGCCAAACAGCGCTACATTGGTGGCAAGAATCTGCCCACGAGGGGCACTGCTGAGTGGCTGTCTTTTGACGTCACTGACACTGTGCGTGAATGGCTGTTACGAAGAGGTAGGTAAACCCAGGATGAGCATTTCAGAAGGAACCTCAGGGCCTTTCACCCTTGATGAGAGGGAAGAGGGCAGATTAGGGTAGTCTCGATTCTGGGTTCAAAGCCTGCCTTTGCCACAGAATCTGTTTATCCTTCATTCACTCAGCTAGCATTTAGTAAATGCTTACCTAAGTCAGGCACTGGAGTTTTAGCAGCCTGCAAGATGGGTGAGGTCCCAGATCTCATGGGGTCCCTTAAGGTCAGACTGAAGGTAGGGTAAAGGACGCCATGAGCAAAGGAAACAGTGAGACCCAGGCTCTCAGCTGGAAACTAGCTTGATTTTCTAGCAGCAGCAAACAGGCCAGTGTCCTGGAGTATAGTAAGCTGGGGCCATAGTATCATAGCCCCTGCCAGGCAATGGTAGGCTCCGAGTGTCACAAGAAGCTGTTAGAGTGTTATATGCAAGCCGGGGATGGGGGTGAGATGATTTGGCTTACACCTTTAAAAGACCCCTGTAGTTGCCATGAGGTCAAGGGAAGAGGCAGGAAAACCGGTTGGGCACTGTTGCAGCAGCAGGGATGAGGGGAAGAGGGACCTAGTCCGGGAGACGTCAGAGTGGCTATGGAGAGGACATGAATTTGTCTTGTATGGGGCAGGCTAGTTAGGTGTGGGGTGTGAGAACACAAGAGCAGTCTTGATTGACTTCTAAATTTTTTGGAGTATCCAAGTGGTAGCAGGGAAGGTTTTGGGGCAGGGTCTGTTTGGGCCAATTAAGTTTGGAAGGCCTGGTGGTCATCCAGGTATAGCTATCTGATAGGTTTATCACACTTCATGTATCTTGAATATCTTACCCACTCACTGTGTCTCCTCACCTAGAAAATCAGGTAATGGTTCCCTCTCCTCTTCCCCCACCCCACATGCCTCACGGGGCGGTTTTAAAGAGCACATGTATATATAAGAGAACTTTGCCACTCTTAGTGTGTTTCATAAGAATAAGCTTTCATTATGTCAGATAAGGATGCTGAGGCAAAGAGGAGTTAAGTGACTGGACCAAGTCATTCAGCCTGGCGCGTCTTATGCCACCATGCTTTGCTGTTTCTGTTCTTTACTTGGCTGGTACTGCCTGGTCTGATTGCTTGGTGGCGATAGAGGTTACATTCGGCAGTCCTGTCTGTCTGTTCTCCCCCAACAAGAGTTTTCCACTACCATTCAAGTGGTAAGAGTGCTTGCCTAGCAAGTGCAAGGCCTTGTGTTTGATTCCCAGTGCCACCAAAAGCAGAACAAAACCAAACCAAAACCCAGATTTAGATTACACACCTGTAATCCCAGCTACTTGGGAGATGGAAATAGGAAGATCAAGGTTCAAGGCCAGCCTAGGGGAAAAAAAAGTTAGTGAGACTGTCTTAGAATGTAATCTGAGCATGGTGGGTGGTACACACCTATAATCCAAACTACTCAAAGGCAGAGGTAGGAGGACAGAAGCTGGCCTTTTTTTTTTTCTTTTATTTATTTATTTATTTTTTATTCATATGTGCATACAATGTTTGGGTCATTTCTCTCCCCTCTCCCCACCCCCTTCCTTACCCCTCCACCCCCTCCCTCTGCCCCCCACCCCCTTGATACCTGGCAGAAACTATTTTGCCCTTATCTCTAATTTTGTTGTAGAGAGAGTATAAGCAATAATAGGAGGGACCAAGGGTTTTTGGGAAGCTGGTCTTGAAAGTAAAAACCTATAAAAGCAAAAAGGACTGGGGGTGTGGCTCAAGTGGTAGAGTGCCAGTCTAGCAAGTGCAAGGCCCTGAGTTAAAACCCCAATACTACAAAATTTAAAAAGGAAGGGGGCAGGGGGCTCCACTGTCATCAGCTGCTATAAAGCCGTAGTCCATGCACACATTGATAGTCAGAGTCCCTGAGGCAGAGGTCCTTCCACGTTCTTGGTGTTTCAGGAAACTCTAATGCAGAGATCACAAACTTTAAATTTAACCAGTGAACAACAGTTATTTATTTTTTTTTAAGTGAGGGGATTTCACATAAAGCATAGACTTCCAGCTTTATTTTTGACAAATCGGAAGACTTGCTCCTGACAACCCTGCAGAGATGAGCCACGGCCACTACTTGAGATGGGGTGTGCATTTTTCAGTCCGCACAGTCCTCCACCATCTTCTTGGTGTTCCCCTAGGCTGAGGCTAGCAGATTCCTGTTCCTAGTAGTCTGCTGGTGTGATTTGCTCACTCACATGACCTGCCCAGGCCCTGCCGACATCCAAGTTTGCAAGCCCCATCTCAGGGGCCTCATTGGTGGCCGAGTTGGCAGATGGTGGGCTGGAGATCCTGCCCTGTCCCTCCTATTGAGCCGAAGCAAAGTTGGGAGAACCCACGTGACTCTGCCAACAGCAGCACTGTGGGGAATTGTGACTCAGACGGCTCTCTGCTGGGCCACAGAAAGGAGGAGCTGGGGAAATTAATCTCTTAGCTCCCCTGTCTGATTTGATCAGCTCTACCTGGGTTCTCCTTGAAGCCCTGGGCACTTGGAGTTCTTATTTTCACAGCTGCAGAACTCAATGAGAAGTTTGCACAGAGAATGGTTTCCATCCTCCTTGAGACATCAGGAAAGATAATTTCATAATAAAACCTGTGGGTTCCCCCTGCCGCCCCGACCTACACCACTGTTGCCAATTCCAAGACTAGTTCTTTATTGGAACCTTCAGTTCCCACTTAGGAAAATTGTGCTTACCTCTTCCCTCCCACAGGGGGATCGTAGCACAGGCCTTTGCTTATAAGGAGCTCATGAGTCTTGTCAGAGTTTATGGTCCCAAACCAGGACTTCAAATTGGAGCAGTTGGTGGTATGGACTGATGAGGACCTGCATCACATGTGTGATCTTGGATTCATTCAGCAAGCATCTAGAGGTGCACAGGCTGCGTTCTGGGTCCTGATTGAAGCCCTATCTGGGATCGAGGACTTGGCCTCACACCTTTGTGCTGTTACTCATACAATCTGCAGCTTCTTGGCATACAGGGTCAGGCTGGGTAGGGAGCAGCCCCAGCATCATGGCTCAAGACAGGCAGCACACTAAAGAAGCAGAGCCCTTTTGGATCTCTGCAAATGTTTTATGTTTTGTTTTGTTTTATGGAAGCTGGAGTTTGAACTTAGGCCCTTGTGCTTGCTAGGCAGGTACTGTCTGTTGCTTCTTCCTCGTCTCTAACAACTAAAAATGTGGGGTCTGAGCATTCCTGTAATCCCAGCACTTGGGAGGCAGAGGCAGGAGGTTTGATAGTTCAAGGCTAGCCTGAGCAACAGATTGAGACTCTGTCTCAAAAAATGAAAAAAATAACAGCAGCAGCAACAATGTGTGGGATCTGGCCTCAGAGAACCCACAGGCTGTCTGTGTTTGAATCCTGGAACTGCCGACTAGTGGTTGGCTACTTTGGGCAAGCCATTTAATTTACCTAAGCCTCAGTGTCCTCATCTGTACAATGGGGGAAATGGTTTTAATGCTGTGGGATTGTTACAGAGAATGAATGAGTTAGTGCCTATAAAGTCATAGAGAAGTATTTGATATGCAGTAATGGTCAACAAATGTTGGTGGTCATTTCCATAATATCTGAGCATGTACCTACACAGAGTCATTGGCCAAGCTAGGCCACCAGCTTACGCTGACCACCTGTACCCCAACCCTTACTCTCCCCAACACATCTGAATGTACCTTGACTTTCTAACTCACAGAATCACAGAACTTGCTCACTGCAGATCTCTCCCAGTCTAGCTCGGTCCATTCTGAGCAGGAAGTGCACTTTATTGCTAGGTAGCTCATTTCAGCTACCCCAGCTCCTTCTTGTGGTTGCCTTCCACCAGGAAGAGGATGCTCCTGGTGTGTCCACATCTGTTCCCTTCTTCTCTAGTCGGGGCTCAGCTGCCTTGTGTATGGACTTGCTTCTGCCCACTGACCTAATCTTCTGGAACAGAGGGCAGATGATCGCCCACGATTAGGGTGACCGTGGCGGGGCAGGACCAATCCTACACCTGGCCCACAACTAGCTGTCACCTCAGGCTCAGCAGAGCTCCTCTAATTGAGTTTTACCTACCAGGATTGGCAGATCCCATCTAGTTTCTCTGCTCAAAACTTTTTATTTATTTAGTCAAATTTTTCATTTACTTTTTATCTTTCCTTTTTTTTCTTTCTCTTCCCCCAACACCATTTACCAATTTCTCTGGTTACTTGATTTTGGTTGCCCAAACATGTGCTCTTACAACTAATAGGAGAAAGGGCTAGAATTGGCCTTCTCACACCAGAACGTCAGTCAACAAACCTGGCACCTCTGTACTTCCTCTTATCTTCTCTGAAATCTGCCACTTTGTCTATATCCATAGTCATAGCTCTGGTTGAAATGTTGGTGGCCTTACCTCTAATGTTGGTTGCTGACTTTTAATCTTATTGCTTAGTGTTCCGGTGGCCTTTTGAGCTTGTGACCTTCAGATCACTGTCTCTCTGCTCTGAAGTTCTTCGGTTACTCCGGTTTCCTAGTCGTCCGTCCTATCCCTTGCCTCTTCCCTCTGTCCTTCTTTAGCAGGCTGCTTCAAATATCTCCTTTCCCAGCAGACACTTAGGTATATCTTTGTCCTTTTGCCCGGAGTAGGTAGGTAACAACTTTCTTCTCTTCATACTGCCCTGTGGAAATTAGGCCATTCCCATTTTCCTTCCTGGTGCCCACTAGTCGCATCCCCTGTGGTTGTTCCTAATGTAACAGACATACGCAGAATGTGGCAACATGTGCATGAAGGTCCGCCTGGAGCTCTGGAAATCTTCTGTCTCCTGTGACCCTCAACAGACCTTAGCTCCTGTGAAGGCCTAGGAATGCAGAGACCCTGGCCTACCTTTGCCACCTGGCGGGTACCCTTCACGATCATACAAAGTGCTTTTCTCACTGACTCTGCGTTTTATGTTGCAGAGTCCAACTTAGGTCTGGAAATCAGCATTCACTGTCCATGTCACACCTTTCAGCCCAACGGGGACATCCTGGAAAATGTTCACGAGGTGATGGAAATCAAATTCAAAGGTAACAAAATGGATGTGTGTGGTAGGATGATGGGGTGGTTAAGGGGACAATGCAGGACAGGGGACGCCTACCAGACCCCAAGAAAAGGAACCAATCTTCTTCATAGAAAAGATGGCCAACTACTTTGTACTTAGAGTAATTTTGTTTTGTCCCAAAAGCAACGAGCATGACTTTCAGCTTATAAAGAATATATTAGTATCTGGAAGATGATGCTATGCTGGTAAGAGTAGTGACATCATGGAGACCAGCTGTTCAGAGTCCAGGAAATGAGCACACAGGTACCTCTTTCACAGGGTTGTTACAGAATTAAATGGGATAACAAATGTAAAACAGAGTGCCAGGAATGCTCAACAAATAACAAATGTTACACAGTACCCTGACTACTGAGCTTTCCTGATGTCACCAGGCTCACCTGACCCTTGCCCAGGAGTCTTCTGGGTTTTGATGATGGCTGTGGGGCTCACACACTTGACCACAATATAGGGATAGTGAAGTAGACGAGAGTAATTTCTGGATTTCCAGTGTGTCCAAGGAACTCAGCCTAGACTGTCTCTGGAGTTCAGGGAAGATATCTTTCCCTTTCCTGTTTCCATTTTGAGCAACAGAGGGGCCAGAGGCTCATCTCAGAAAAGGTGCAGGGCCACTCTTGGTTCTCAGCAGTTCCCTGACCTGCATGGGCTTGATTTCAGAAGCTGTTTTTTTTTTTTTTTTTCAAAGGATTGATGTCTTACAGAATTCAGACCTTCACAGTCCTTACCCACAGCAACCTAGGGTGAAACCTTCCCATGTGAATAAGTCCCTGTAGGTAAAGACTTCTGGAAAAGGGAATCTGGGATCCAGTTCTCTTATTTTTCTCACACACCAAGTGTCCCTTTCTGAGATCCACATTCCTCATGTTAATATGTAAATCAGGCACCTCATGTCCTGTCCAGGTGAAGATGCTCAACAGCTGGTCACTATATAAACTAGATCGCCAGTTAGTTGGTACTCATGCGAAGTCAGTCTTTGTCTTTTCCTTTTCAATTCAAATAGGTTCAGATGAATTTGGGCTTTCTTTCCAGAGCTTTTTGCTAAGCCATTGTTTCTTACTGCATCTGAATTTTATAGTGAAACACTTCTGAGACTATAACACAATGTGAATGTTAGTCATCATTCCAAGTCTTGTTTGTGGTCCCCATTCAGGCTATCTTAAATTGGGACACCTTTAATTATCAGTAGGATATCTTGGCCAATTCAGATTGGAAATTCACACCCCAAGATTCTAGGTCTTAGAATCTAAATTGATGAGCTAAAGGTGTGTGTCAGGGGCCCACCTGGTGATAGGGCTGCTTCATGGCTCTGTGGAGCCTCCCAGGGGAAAAAATCTCAGGAAAGGTGTTCTGCCCTCTGGAACATTCTGTGCAGGAGACATGCAGGGCTCTGAATGTGTCTTAAGTGGCATCCTTATGGTGATCATTGAGTTATTTTCATACTGTTTGCTCTGCCTAGTCTTCCATGTCCTGCAGGTGGCATTAGGGTGAAACTCACTCATACCTATGCCCTCCTCCCAGAATGCATTGCCCCTCTGCATGGGCATGATGGACTGGGATGAGGAAGCAGCCTCCAAGAGCTCTGCTTTTCTTAGACAGGTGATTGTCATCTTCCCTCCCTTCTACAGGGGTAGAAAATGAGGATGACCATGGCCGTGGAGACCTGGGGCGCCTCAAGAAGCAGAAGGATCACCACAACCCTCACCTGATCCTCATGATGATTCCACCGCACCGGCTTGACAACCCAGGCCAGGGGGGGCAGAGGAAGAAGCGGGCCCTGGACACCAACTACTGCTTCCGGTGAGCCTGGGCCCCGTGGAGATCAAGATCCACCATGGGCCTTAAGGGTCCTTGATGTTGCACACACATGTGTTCAGAGAAGAAAATTGGAAATCTCTTCCAAACCTCTTCTTGTTTTTCTGGAAGCCCACTGGTTTTCTGCAGCTGAACTCCACAAGGGCCTGGATGAAGTAAATGAAGAAAACCATGAAAAAGAGGGTGTTTGAGAAGAGTTTTAACTGGGGATGTTTGGCTGAAGCCTCCATGTGGTTTTCGTGTTTCAGTTCTTGCAGGGTGTGTTTGTGTGGGGAAGAAAGCAATGAAGGAGTTTCCATTGAAGAAGTGCTCAGTTCCTTGTGAAGGGTCCAAGAATGCAACTGGATTGGGGGAAATAGGGCAGCTTCCTTTTGCAGGGAAAATCTGACCTACAGAAATTAACAAATGCATGCAGAAATGATTAAGTAGCCCCTGTACAGAGGTGGAGAAGACACAGCTTCTTCCTTTTTATAGGCGTAGTTGAACTTCTCACATAGGTGGGAGGGATGATAAAGCCTTCCTTCCAAGAGCTAAGGGTAGAAAACAATCGCATCCTGGAGACGGTGAGAAGGATCAAGGGCTTTATGCACTGGAATTAGGGGTTCATCCACTGATACAAGAAAAGCTTCTGAGGAGGGTAGAATTTGAGCAAGGCCTTTGAGGATGGGTGAGGTTTGGATATGTATGGATCTGGGGGCAGGAAGCACATGGGGTGAAGGAGGGAGCAGGAGAGGGTCTGGCTGGAGAATATATCTGAATGGAGCAAGGAGAGTGACTTGGGAAATCTTTAGATCTGGAAACCATATCTGTAAGGAACAACTGAATAAACTTGGGAACAGAAGGGGTGAGAGGCTACGTGGTTGTTGCCGACTGTCTGCAGGTTGGCATGTGGATCCGTTTTCTGTGTGTCTCTTTAGCAGTGAGAAATGAACTGCAAGCAACAATGGCTTCAGCCATAGGGATTTCTTGCTCACACAGGCCTGTGGCAGCAGATTCAGGGTTGGTCTGGCTGCTTCATTATGCCATTGACAACACAGGCTTTCCCATTTTCTAGTCTGGCATGCTTGATATGTTGGCTCTTCATCCTCTTGTGTATGGTCCCAAGTGATTGCTAGAACTTTAGTATCTTGTCCATGTTTAAGTCAAGAAGGGTGGAAAGGCTGGCAGTCTTCCTCTTCCATCTGTTACTTTTATAAATAATTATTCTTTTTTTGTTTTGTGGTGCTGGGATTGAAACCCAGGGTCTTTTGCATGCTAGGTTAATGCTCTACCACTGAGCTATATCCCCATCCTGGCTTTGGGAAATAATCAGATATCTTTGGCAGAAAGATATTTTCCCTATCTACTTCCCTATGTCTGATTGATCATTATTAGGCCAAGTGACCATCCCTGCTTGCAAGCGTAGCCAGGAAAATGAATATCTGGTGTTCCAGACTCTGTAATGGGAGAGGACAAGGGAGAAGGGGGTTAGGAATTTTTTTTTTGTTTTTTTGTTTTTTTTTTGCTTGTTTGTTGTTTTGTTTTTTGTAGTACCAGGGCTTGAACTCAGGGACTTCACCTTGAGTCATTCCAACAGCCCTTTTTGGTGATGGGTATTTTTGAGATAGGGTCTCGGGAACTATTTGTCCAGGCTGGCTTCAAACCGTGAATCTTCCTGATCTCTGCCTCTTAAGTAGCTAAGATTACCGGCATGAGCCACTGGCGCCTGGCAGGAATGGTTATTTTAAGATAATCAATATAGTCTGCCATGGTTTAGCCACAGAACCCACATGAAGCCAGATTTTGGCCAATAGCCTTTGGAAGTAGCAAGTTCCAGGTCTCAGCTGAGACCTACTGAAACAGTGGCTAGATGCCCACTTGGCAAGGGGGATTGCCAAATGGATCAATGCAAGCAACAGGATTGAGGCCTGACATTCACACTTGGGTGACCTGGGAGTCATGGTTCTAATAGAAGGGTAGACTTCATTTTGGCTAAGTAGCATTTAGATGTGGTCTATGCATCATATACAGTAGTGTACAAGCCACATAAACTTAGAGTTTATTTCTAGATTAGTACACATTAGTAAGGTATCAATAAGCCAATCTCAACAAAGCAGATATGGCCAATAATGCTTTAAAACATACATAACATGATGCAGCATGTTATGTATGTTTTGAGTTGTGATGTAAAAGGAGACAAGGCTAACTTTACCTCTCTACTGTCCCTTATCTCTGATAACATCCTTGGGATCCTGGTCTTTGACTCAAGAAAACACCTTCTGGTCTCTAGCCCCATGCACTTGAACTTGGGATTCTGTTGGTTAAAGTCACCTCTATGATGGCAGGGATGGACTCCAGGGGGGAAATAAGAGGGTATTTGTGAAGTTTCTTTTATTGGTAGTTTCCTTTCAGGTTGATATCCTATAAATGTTTTTTGTTGTAGCAACTTGGAGGAGAACTGCTGTGTGCGTCCCCTCTACATTGACTTCCGACAGGATCTGGGCTGGAAATGGGTCCACGAACCTAAGGGTTACTATGCGAACTTCTGCTCTGGCCCTTGCCCATACCTCCGCAGCGCAGACACAACCCACAGTACGGTATGGATCAGGGTGTGCCATCTGGGCACTGGGGCTCAGCAGACCAGGCCACTTATCCAAAAGAATAGGCAGAGTGGCTCAAGTTTCAGTTCAACCCCTCAGCACTGCCAAAACACAAACACAAAACAAAGAATAAATGAAAGGCTGAATGTTGAGTGAGTGAATGAGAATTTGGGGTGAGTAAAATTCCTCTAATAAAGGTTCTGATCTTGGTATCCTGCCCTTTAAAAATCCTACTGGAGGGACTGGGAGATGTAACTCAGTACTAGAGGCTGTGCTTAGCATGTCTGAGGCCCTGGGTTTAATCCCCAGCACCTTCCAGAATAGTTTTTACCATAGTTTCAATCAGATTTTTAAAATTTGCTTTGAATAAAGCTTTTGTACCATGAAAGTTAATTAACTGTCACATGCCACCCTGTATGTCAGAGATGTGTGCACCTGGTTGGCAAGGAATGTGAAGGCAGAAAAGTTTCCATCGCTAAAGAGCCCTGATAATTGCTTCATCTTGTGTGTACAAAGTTATTCTGAGAGATAGTGCAAAGCATGCAGAAGTCAACATAAAAGACTGGGAAAAGAGAGTGAGGGGGAGCTTGCAACTTCTGAAGCATGCCTTTCCTCAAGGGGAATGGAAAATAGGACAGGAATTCAGGCAGCATGCTTCCTTACAGTTCCTCATCACTGCATCCTGTCTGGGGCTCTACACTCTGACACTAACTGGCCCAAGGCAATGGTTAGTGAGACCATTTTTTACTCATGTGATCAGTTACAGCAAGGATGAACAAAAACAGGAGTGCTTCCTTTCCACCGAAGAGTTTTCTTGTCAATTGAAAGTTCCCTAATAATGGTTTTATGCTTGAACTGGTAACTGCAGTGCAGTACACACTGCCAAAGTGGACGAACACAAGTAGTATCTTCTCCAAACTGTATTTCCACAGTTCCTCTTAAATTAGCATTGATTTGTCTCAGAGTAGCTCCCAGAGTAGAGTTCCTGGGCTGTGGGCCTGTGACTTGGCTCTCCCACTTGTAACTTCTTTGCCTCCCATACCCAGGTGCTGGGACTGTACAACACCCTGAACCCAGAAGCGTCTGCCTCACCTTGCTGTGTGCCCCAGGACTTGGAGCCTCTGACCATTCTGTACTATGTTGGGAGGACCCCCAAAGTGGAACAGCTCTCCAACATGGTGGTGAAGTCTTGTAAGTGCAGCTGAAGCCTTGTCTGCAGCAGAGGAGGGAGAACTGCCACTGCCGACTGCCCGTTTCTCGGGAAACCAAAGCGACAGACCTCACCTAGAAGCCTGGAGCCTACAACCTCAGCTCCCGGCAAACGGCTGAGATGGAGGCTTCCTTCTGGAACATTTCTTTCTTGCTGGCTCTGAGAATCACTGTGGTAAAGAAAGTGTGGGTTGGTGAGGGGAAGGTGAACTCTTGAGGATACAGAATTTCTGTGGCACTGACAGGAGATGGGGTAGAGGAAGAGGGATAACAGATGGACATATTGTGTGACAATGGGACTTGGGCTACCCTAGGGAAGAGGAAGGACAGAGAATGGCTGGGTTGGGGAGAGACTGGAAGACATTTTGGATCTGAGGTCAGCTTTGCTCATTGAAGTGCCACAACATGCTCTAGGGAATCGGGGTGACGTTATAGGAGGCAAACCTTTTTCTTTAGACAGGTTCCCAAGACCAAGTCCCAGAACTGTATCTTGCATTACCTGGGATTAAGGAACAATCTGTTATTTTGTAAACTGTCCTCTCTACATCAGTCAGCATCACGGCTCATTATAGGTAGTGCAATGAGTTCCCAGTCCAGAAACTATATTGAGCCCATGAAGATGCTCAACTCAAGAAGCAAAGAGTGGGCATTAGCTCTCTCCTGTCTGCTCTCTGGGCCCCTCCTCTTGCGTTCTTCCTTGGTCTCACTTTCCCTTGGACATTGGCTAGGCACCTTCCAGGTCAGGGTGTACATATCTGGATTCTGAGTCCATGCAGCCTGGAACGTCAGGGGTTTCTCCCCTCCAGCCCCCTAAGACCCTGGGTTCTTTTGGTATTCCTGGAAGCTGGTGCTACAATCTGTCAGGCATTGGGGAGGCTGCAGGTGTACCACACAGTGACTTGCCCCCAGACACACAGACTGAGGTATAGACAAATACAAATATTACTCTCAAAATCTTTGTATAAATAAATACTTTTGGGGAATCATGGATTATTTCATCTTCTGGAAGATTGTTTCTAGAACAGTAAAAGCCTTATCCTAAGGTCTATGTCTGACTTCATAAAGAGTCTTATTACCCTCTTCTTATTTCCACATCAGCATCGACCAATCAGAGTAACTGGAATCCGGGCAGGGACTCACTCAAGCATCATTGTTCAGCATTGGGCAGTGGGCATCTGGTGCTGCATCTGCCATCTGAGAGTACTGCACTGTTGTCTGTGCACCTTCTTTCTTGCAGAGTATATTATTCTCAGACACATAGGCAGCAGCTCAGATTTGAAGGAAGCACACAAATTTGACCTCCAGGTAACTGGGAGGTGTGAACTCTTGTGTATTTCGGAAATGTGATTTGTACATTCAACCTAAATGATCCACATTTTTGGAAATCTCACCTCAGTCCCCAAATCACCTGAGAACTAGAGAAGCTGTCTAAGGCAAATGGCCTAAGAGGCAAATTCTATTATTGGTTTAAGTCTAAAAGAGCCAACCAGCGCCCCCATTTCAGACTATGGGCTTCATTAGGGGTCTGGGAATGGGAGAGGGCAAGAAAAACACAATCCCAAAGTGCTTTTGAGGTCACAGACTCCAGGGCAACACAGGGAATCTAGGAATACACTGTCCACCTGCTATGGTTTCTAGCAGGGAACCCTCCTGCAGCTCCTGAAAGCCACCTGCCCCTAGCAAGCTTATGTCAGCAATGGTATGGAACCCTGTCTATAGCTGAGGTTTGCAGGTTAGAGGATGTGTATATGCTCATGCCTGTGTGTGTGCCTTGTTCCTTGTGGAGTTCAGCAAGACTGAGCTCCTGTGCTTGGTCACCAAGCCTTTTTTTCCTTCTTTGTCTATGCCTAGCCAGTTCTAAGGCTGCTCTCATCCCATAGGCATCCATTTTCTTCCACTGTCCTTCAGCGGCCTATATCCCTGCTTAAAAATCCTGGCTGTGGGCGTGCATTCTGTCTTCCTCCAGGAGCCAGTGGTAGAGGGGTGGGTACAAACAGCATGCTAGCATGCAGATATGGCTGTTGCTATCCCAGATGTCAAAATCATTCTCAAATTTCAGTGGACATGAGAATCACCTTTGTTTAGTAAAAATGTACAATCCAGGCTGTGGTTCTAGAAGTGTCTTTGTGACCGGGGCAAGGTCCAGGTTGGCTAAAAAAGACACCTTCAGAGAAGCAGTACATTAGTCCTTTCTTGGGGTATCAATAAAGAAATGGGAAGTAATCTTTTGGGATCTAGACTGAATCTCCCTTTTTTATCCACTCATAGGACATTACTAGAAGGTTGGTCTGTGGTTCATCCTAATGAACCAAGGCAACTAGATGTGCTTCCTGAAGTATTCCAAAGAAAACAGAACATGCTGAGATTCCAGATGTTCTTTTTGGTGCTAGAGCACTACTCTGACGTGAAGCAGAAGATACATATATGGGAGGAGTTGAAGCCCAGCCTCCCCTTTCTTCATACCACTTACAGGCACTACAGATGCTTGATCATTGTCTGTCTTCAAAAATATACACTTGTTTTGGGGGAGGGTAATGATACTGGAAATGACACCTCTGTTGCAAGAGGCTCAATTGATCCATCTTTTTTTTTTTTTTTTAAACCAAGACAAATCCAGTACCAATAAGAGTGACTTGAAAACACTTTGGTAGGGAAAGATTTGGGTTGTGGTCTTAGCACCTGGCCAGCATACAGTGAATGCAGCTTGAGGATTTAATTCTGATTGGATACCTAGGGCAATTCCAAGCACTGTAGTTGTTCTTATAGTTCTTGCACTAGGCTCATATTGACTGTCTTATCCCTTTTTCACAAGATTCATTTGATGAAATCCCCAACCCCTTATTTCTCAAATCTATACATCAGCAGCAGATTATAGAGGAATCTGAATTTGTCTCCTAGCCAACTCAAGCCAAGTGAGTTAAGATGGTTCTCAAACTACTACCCAGTAGATCCAGGCAACATGGGATACATTATTCTCTCCTGTAGCCAGGCCCTCATCCTTCACAAACAAACTTTGTTTTCATTCACTGAGAAGGTGGTAACACCCTTTTTCTGTCTTTTCTGGTGTCATTTTCCTGTTCTGGAGGCCTGACTATGGATTCTCCCCCAGAAATTCCCCAGGGAAGCTAAGTGAACACTTCAGTGGGTTTGCAGCCCTGCTTTCAGCCTTTTCTCCAGTAGAAGCCAGAGTGAGGACCTGGGAAAAGTGAGGAAGCAGGAGAGCAGGCCAGGTGGAGCGGAGCTAGGGCTATGCCACACTGTCCAGATTCATTTGCCAGGCAGGACTGTGGCGCACCTGCTGGGGCTGGTCATGGAGAAATCTGCCCGCACCAGCTCCCCCAATGTGGGAGTCACCCTTGGGAACCGGCCTGGACCTGCCATCTGCTGAAACAATTTCTTGATGTTCATATTTCTAAAATGAAGTTTAAAAATTGTCCAGCCATGAAATAAAATGAAAAGATTCCATTTCAGTCTTGTTTGTGGATATTGATTTTGGGAAATTAGTAAATGGAAAAAAGAAAATAAAAATAGAATTACTTTATTAAATCTTAGAAATCAGTAATTCCAAAGGGTGTCTGTACCCTGGCTCACGTCAGCAGCAGACCAACTTGTCTCCACTCTCTGGGAAACTTGTGATGTGTACTGCTCCTTCCCCCAGACCCTCTGAAAAGGGAGAACAGCTTTGGTAGACAATGATGCTGGGATTTTAAGCTTGTACAAAGAAAATACAGCTTAATAGTGCAATCTGGAAAAGAAGAGGAAGCAAAATGCAAATAGCCAAAGAGCCTCTTTTATATCATCTCTGCGGCAGCAGGAAAGGGACAGAGAAGACCTAAGCAGGTTGGGGACTGGGCGGGGGGAAGGTTGGGGGTGGGCGGGCAAAGGAAAGGTAAAATACACGTGCGAGCTGACAGGGTAGAGAATGCATCAGTCGAGTGTCCCCACTGTCAAGTTCCATCCAAACCCTCAGGATCTGATTTCCTGTTGTCCCAGAGTAAGTCTGGCTTGGCTGATGGCAACCATCTACTGCCACTTCTGCTTGAAGGCCTTGGGGACTTTGAGGCAGCAAAAAAATACTGTGGACCACTTGCAGTACTGCTGGATGCTTCGCCCGCAGTCATGCACCCAGGAGCAGCAAACAGGTTCTTCCTCTGTGTGTGTGTGGGTTCATCTGTTAGTGTGAGTGGGATCTGAAAAAAAGAACATCAACCACTAAGTGCCTGAGAGTGTAGGGTTTTACTTCTTTACTGCAATGTGGGGTTTCTTTATCACCATTGAAGGATGAAGTGGTGGCCCCAATAAATGGAGTTACCCTGAAACACATGACTGAATTTTAACCACTTTTGCTGGAAACCTTCCTAAAGTATTTATGTTCTGCTGCTGCTGCTTTTTGGGTAGTTCTGTTTTTTGGATAAAACATTTATTTTAGTTTATTTATTTATTTAGTGGTACTGGGGTTTGAACTCAGGACCTACACCTTGAGTCACTTCATCAGTCCTTTTTTGTGAGGAGTTTTTTCAAGACAGGGTCTTGCAAAACTATTTGCCCAGGCTGGCTTTGAACGGAGATCCTCCTGATCTCTGCCTCCTGAGTAGCTAGGATTACAGGCGTGAACCACCAGCACTGGGCTAGTTTATTTAATTTTTAAGACAGGTCTCATCCTGTTGCCCGAGCTGGTTTTGAACTCCTGGGCTCGATTCTTCTGCGTCAGCCTCTCAAGTAGTTGGAGCCACAGGTATGTGCACCATGCCCAGCAGGATAAAAACATTTTATCCCTCTTCACTGGGCCCAGCTTCTCAAGTAGCTGAGGCAGAAGGATGCTTTGAATCTAGGAATTCAAGGCCAGCCCATACAACATGGTGAGTCCCCATATCAACAAAACAAAAAAGATCCCTTGTTTCTGAAATAGAAGATGTTAAATGTATCTATCTTTTCTAGAAACTCAGGGTCAGCATTAGCATTTTTGAACTGCATGGAAAGGTTTCATGGATCCTTTTGAGATTTTCTAACTCTTCCCTTGGTGTTGGGTTATCAGAAAATACTTTGCCCTCCACACTCTACTCCCATCGTCCCAAATACACCTATGGACCCCATTACTCAGTTTGAGGGAAGGGCCTTACTCCCAAATCCCTGGTAAGACTCTCCCTGTTCTTCCCCATTCCCGCCTCCGAATTTTGTGTTTATCCTTATTTGCTTTTTTAAAAACAGGCTTATTTACTACATACACTTCTGTCCTAAATGTATGTGGCTTTGGATTTACTGTGCTCTCATGACAATTCTTTATGTGTGGCTGGATACATGCCGGAAGCATTTCTTTGGGAACACTCAGGAGGGGAGCTGCTGGGTGAGGAGGTGCCCGCACCCCTGGGCACTGATGAGCTTCCCTCCCTTCTCCACATCCTCTTCAGGTGTCGTGGTATAGCTGGAGTTGAAACTTTTTGTGACTCAAGTGAGTACATGACAATGTTCCACAGTAGCTTTAATGAGCATTTATCTCCTAGGGATGACACCGAGTATCTTTCCAAACATCTATTGTGTGTATGTTTCTTCTGTGAAATGCCCTGATGTGTTTTTCCTACTGAGTTGTTATTGATTAAAAAAAAAAAACAGCTTTATTATAATAGAATTCACATAGACAATGCACTCATTTATTGTATATAATTCAGAATTGTGTATTTATCACCACAATCAATTTAAGAACATTTTAATTATCCCTCAACAAAACCCTGTACCTCTTCGTCATCACCCCCTACACCTCTCATACCCTGCCCTGGGAAACTACAAATCTATTTTCTGTCTACATAGGAATTTACCTATCCTGGACATTACATATAACGGAATCATACAATGTGTGGTCCTGTGTGAATACATCCTTCACTCAGCACCATGTTTTTAAGGGCCAGCTGTACTGTAGCATACATTAGTACTCTATTACTTTTCATGGCTGAATAACAGTCTACTGGGCCTATACCACATTCTGTTTATCCATTTATCGGCTGCTGGGCACTGGAGCTGGTTCCACCTCTTGGCTGTTATTAATAATGCTGCTGTAGACACCCATGTACAAGTTCTTGTTGGA